CCACCAGTGCCCAGCAGATTTTTTTTTTAGGTGATGTCTATGTAGACACTTTGACCCTCCACCCCCCAACTCATGATCATCCTGCCTCAAGCTTCTCAAGTGCTAGGATTATAGCCATATACTTAGAAAATTATAGTTTAAGAACAGTTCACACATTCACTGGGAGAAGTAATGCACAACATTATTTGTTTGTTTGTTTGTTTTGCCAGTCCTGAGGCTTGAACTTGGCCTGGGCACTGTCCTTGAGCTTTTTTTGATCAAGACTAGCATTCTACCACTTGAGCCATAGTGCTACTTCCAGCTTTTTCTGTTTATGTGATATTGAGGAATCGAACCCAGTGCTTCATGCATGCTAGGCAAGTTCTCTACCATTAAGCCATATTCCCAGCCTATGATGCAGAACTCAAGAGTCTGAGGCAGGAAAGAGGAGGGAGCATTCAAAATTAGTGTGAATTGGGGCTGGGAAGGTGGCTCAGTGGTAGAGCACTTGCCTTGCATGCATGAGGCCCTGGGTTTGATTCCTCAGCACCACATAAGCAGAAAAAAAAAAAAGCTGGAAGTGGTGCTGTGGCTCAACTGGTAGAGCACTAGCCTTGAGCTGAAGAGCTGAGGGACAGTGCCCAGGCCCAGAGTTCAGGCCCACGACCGGATCCAAAAAAAAAAAAAAAAGTTAGCATGAATTATGTAGTAAAACCCTTTCTCTATATATCCTCCCCAAAAGAGAGAGAGAAAACAAAAACCCAGCAACTTAAAATTGATTTCTCCTTTTCCCCAGAAGAGGGTGCTTGATGTTCATAGTTCAAATTTTTAAAGGGCTTTTATTGTTTAATCATAGATTGGGAGTCCTCCTTTTGATCCGACAGAACACTTTCTTCCTGAAGAAGAGAGGCTCACTGAACAGGAGAGATCAAAAAGGTTAGTTGGTATAGAGATCAACATGTGTTACCACATAGTATAAGCAAAATGATAGTTCAAAAAAGCCTTACCTTTGCTGCTTAGAAGTCATTCAAGTGAAACAGTGGATTACCCCCAACCCTTGTAGTATGAGGTTTGAACTCGGGACCTTGGGCTTGCTTGGCAAGCACTTTACCATTTGAGCTATGCCCCAGCCCTACTCCATTTGCCACTTACAAGTTACATGGCCTTGGTCAGATCTGAGACTGTTTCCTGTCATAAAACTACATGTACCAGACACAACTCAAAGGGTTGGTGGGAGGATCAAGAAAATTAGGTATGAAATTTACTTATAAACTGGGCGCTGGTGGCTCACACCTGCAACCCTAGCTACTCAGGAGGCTGGGATCCTAGGATCATGGTTCAAAACTAGCCCAGGTAGCAAAGCCCATGAGACTCTTATCTCCAGTTAACCACCAGAAAACTGGAAGTGGCACTGTGGCTCAAAGTGGTAGAGCACTAGCCTTGAGCAAAAAGAGCTCAGGGACAGTACCCAGCCCCTGAATTCAAGCCCTAAGACCAACAAAACAAATTACTTACAAGCCATTGTGCAATACTTTTTCTTCACAGATTTGAGAAGGTTTATACTCATAACCTGTATTACCTGGCTCAAGTCTACCAGCATATGGAAATGTTTGAGAAGGCTGCTCACTATTGCCACAGCACACTGAAGCGACAGCTTGAGCACAATGCCTATCATCCTATGGAGTGGGCTATTAATGCTGCTACCTTGTCACAGTTTTATATCAATAAGGTAAGTAGTTACCTAAAAAGGAGCCAGGTATAGCCTGACGATACCATCCTTTAAAAACAAGTGGCTTGGGCTGGGAATGTGGCATTTAGGGTGCTTGCCTAGCATGCATGAAACCCTAAGTTTGATTCCTCCATGCCACATAAACAGAAAAAGCCAGAAGTGGTGCTGTGGCCTGAAGTGGTAGAGTGCTAGCCTTGAACAAAAAGAAACTCGGTCCCTGAGTTCAGGTCCCAGGACTGGCAAATAAATAAAAATAAAGATAAAAAGATAAAGGACTGGGAAGGGACTCAGTGGTAGAGTGCTTGCTTGCCTTGCATGCATGAAGCCCTGGGTTCAATTCTTCAGCACCACACAAGCAGAAAAAGCCAGGAGTGGCACTGTGGCTCAAGTGGTAGAGTGCTAGCCTTGAGCTGAGGAGCTTAGGGACAGTGTCCAGGCCGAGTTCAGACCCCATTACAGACAAAAACAAAACAAACAGAAAAAGAAAAACAAGTGGCTTAATACAAAGGTACAATGGCTATATGCCTCCGATCATATAAAATCGTATTTATTGGAATAAACTCCAGGAAATGGAAACAAGAGGTTTTATTTATATTATTTTTGTTTTCTTGTCTTGTTTGCTTATCTGTCTTTGGGAAGGTAAGTTGGGGCACAGAAATGGAGGGACAAATGGTGAATGCATACAGCAGTGGTACTCACTTAACACTATGTTGAAAATGAACTATACAACTTGTGGGCAAGGATAGGAGGGAAAAATTGGGAGAAAGTAAGGGAAGGGGTGATATTGTCCAAAAACAAATGTCCCCTTTAACTGACTTATGTCACTGTAACTCCTCTATACATTACCTTTATAATAACAATTAAAAAAAAAAGAAAAGTAGCTTGTATTTTGTGATACAAACTAAGCAGGAAAATGCAGCCCAATTTGTTACCTGCTAATATATTAAGGGTGTGTGTGTGTGTGTGTGTGTGTGTGTGTGTGTGTGTGTGTGTGTGTGTGTGTGTGTGTGTGTGTGTGTGTGTGTGTG